CAAAGCAGTTTAGTCGATCTACTCTCACTGGGCCGCGCGGGCGCAGGCTCCAACCTTGAAAACTTACTACCTAGCACCCAAGAGCACCGCGATATCCTCTTGGACGTCTATTTCACCAATGTAGACCCCATGGTGAGGATCACGCATAGACCGACAGTGATGCGCAAATTCTTCACATATAACCGTGAAGCACATCCTATTGCCTACGCCATCTACTTCTCTGCTATCAATTCACTGCCTCCCAAAATTGTCCAGACCAGATTTGGTGATACCAAGGAAGCCCTTCTGGACCGATTCCAACTGGGCGTCGAAATCTCTCTCGCCAGAGAAAATTACCTAACAACATCCGATCTTGAAATATTCCAGGGCTTCGTACTATGGCTGACATGCATCACAAGAGAGGAAGACATGGGTAGGCTTATAGAGCATTTGTCGGTATACTAAGCTGACATGGAAATCAGGAAAAGCATGGGTGTTGATTGGCATAGCTTTCCGTATCGCTCTGAATCAGGGATTACACCGGGATCCATCATTGTTTCCCACAGGATCAATGGACGCCCTCACTATTGAACAACGCCGCCGCATGTGGCATCAGCTTGGACACCTGGAGTTTCGTGCAGCTGAATGCAAGGGTCAAGAGCCAAGCATAACTGAAGATTTTTACACAACGCTTCTTCCCCGGAATATCGATGACGAAGAACTTGTCGATGGAGCGAGTCCAGGCGAGGCTCCATACAACGAGCAAAAGTTCACATCAATGACGTTTCAACTGGTCCGATTCAACGGTGTGCGAGCGTTGAGGCGCATAGTCCAAAGCACATATCGTTTAGAGCGGCGAATGCTCGATTCTGGGCTTCACGGTACCTCTCGCCCGGACCCTGCACAGGAGTTGCGGGATCTTTATGATCAGATCAAAGTCATGCTCGATCAAGTACACGAAGAGACTCATCGGAAGTACTTGCAATTCCTCAACCCAGAAATACCAATGGAACGATTGACTTTGGGACTGGCTTCGCTACTCGAATGGCGCGCTTACTTGTTCTTCTGGCTCCGTATGCCGCGTGCGTACCGTGATGACGTCTTCTCCGATGACATTCGCAGATCGTACGTATCTTCAGTTGATTATGTCTTGTTGAGAACTAGTAGAGACTAACGATTTAGGATATTTGAAAAATCTGTCAACTGCGTAGAGACGATCAATGGAGCAGCTGCGGATGTTGACGCCGCTCGCTTCCAGTGGCACATTGGTATACAGACCCACTTCTCGTATTTTTCAAGGCTAACAAATCAAGGCGCCATTGCTTCGTTCCAAGCTATCATGCACATCTTGTCCGAGCTACGCAACCCCCTGTTCGATGCCCCAGATCGGCAACGAGCCTTGAGAGCGCTGCAAATGTCGCGCATTCTTCGAGCAAACAACAACGCCAAGGCATGGCAGGCTGTCAAGAACATGATTGACAAGGCCGTAGCCGAGCACACCCTTTCGCCTAGGTCCCAAAATCAACCCTTGAATCCGTACATGAGCCAGCCTACACCCGCGTCTGCGACTATGCCTGGTCCAACGTCTACATCCACGTCGACGTCTACGCCTGTATCTACTCCCATGTCTGCAACTATGCCTACCCTTCCATTGGGCCCTATGCCAAACAGCAACACAGGACCATATCAAGCAATGGGAGAAATACCTGCTTATGCTTACCAACCCAGTTCCATGACGTTCAATCAACCGACACTACTGCCACAGTCTCAGCCGCTTCCCCAACCGCCGCCAGTACAATCTCAACCTGACATGATGGATTCGACATCAAATTTCCAAAACCGTGCACCGGTCTGGGACGACATCAATATAAACAACATTAACAATATCGTTGGGGATATGCAACCAACTACCAACGTCATCCCTGAATTCGATTTTGTAAGTCTCACAATGTAATCCGGTGAAAAAGGACATGATTACTGACCAAAACAGGGTTTCTGGGGTGACCCCTTCAATTACGAGAACGAGCCTGTTGCAATGCCAATGCAAGATGGCTATTTTCCCCAATGGACAGCAGGAGTCTGAACTACGTTAGCGAATGACATACAACCTTTTTCTTCTGCTTTTCCGATCGTATGCAATAGCAAGCATCATGAGCTTGGCAGATCGTATTCCAGATTAAGGCTCCGCTTAGCTCCTGTTGGCAGTGGTCTTTTCAAGAGTCCCGCGCTAAACAGTACGGCGAATTGGATTACCGTCCCAGCTGGCTGGCCATCCTATGATACGCCTTTCCAAACTTCACGCTACAGAGCCCACCCATGTAGCCATGGACACGTCGTTGCATCAGCGGGAAGAAAGTCAGCAAGTGGAATACGAGACCAGAACACATGATATCTACTCTCCGGCTCTCAACCCATATCCAGTGCTAGCAAAAATAAGGTTGGTCACCGGGGAGTCCAGTTCACAGCGGGGAGGAGAACGTCGAGAAGACGTAGACGAGTTCTCGGCGTCACCAAGAAGCACTACGCATGCTAGAGGAAGAACTCACACCGCAATTTTCTACAGTAAGACAGCTGTAATTGTAACAGGCTCGGCTATAGGGGGACCGAGCATTCGACCAAACACGGGATTTCTTTTCCAGACAACTCCCTATTTTGGAGTCAGCGTATATAACTTTTATGTTGCAAATACCAAATTTACCATTCAATTAGACGAATTAGAATATCAAGAATATATATTTTTTCTGCTACCATCACCATTTCTAACCTCCCACTATGTACGCTTTCTTAACTTGGTGTTTTGAGCGTCTTAATGTATACTACATGGTACTTTTGATATTCTTCGTATTTTGCGTGCACAATACACTTAATCCCTACACCTCTTTTAACTTTTAAAATCCCCAGCATTGAAAGAAAAAAAACCCCCTAAAGTTCCAAACCTCCAGTATATACCACTCACTCGACCTGGATACCGCATCACAATGCATACATGCTGCAATCCAATCCATCTCCCCCAAGCACCCCTTTCCTTCAAAATAGTCGATACACAGGTAATAACAAAAAAAAACTTATCTCGCATCCCCCCCCCCCCCCCCACAACTTTCCAAAATTTCCAATTTGCCCTTGGTCCAAAGAAGTGAATCATGTTGGTTGTGTGGATACAGATTACACGACGTAAGAAAGAGGTGTGATATAAGAAATGAGCGGGATAAATGTAAGAGGGTGAACTGGTACGAGTACGGAGATGAGGAATGTTGGGTTTTGGAATAGTTACGACGTTTGGTATGGGGTTAATATGGGAGGAGATGGCAGAGACGGCAGTGTGCATGTTTGATAGAAGAGGTGGAATTTACTAATCTAATGGATGAAACTTAATTCATGTTTGAGATAGGACTTTACTCTTGGTCTTATGGTTAGAGTTTAGAGTGGACTACTCCCCATGGACGACAAACACAATGCTGACTAACATTGTCTATCTCTTTCCTTTCCTTTCTTTTTGTCAATACACCCCGCAATAACATTCACAATACGCATAGTCAAAAGGCGAATAAAAGAATTAAGGGATAGGCTGAAAAGTTTCATTAGTGTTGTACAAGATAGCAGTAAGCTCCTATCCGGGGGGTTCCGAAATTTGACAGTCCAAGATACCAGCAGCGACTTCTAAATAATCTAGACACCACATGGCACTATGCGAATCATGCAACCAGCCTACTCATCCTTGACACCACCGCGTCCAGCGCGCTCAGCAGCCTCAATGCTCTTCTTGTCCGTCTTAATCTCACCAGCACCCATACCCATCATACCGCCAGCAGCCTTCCATGGCCTGGCCAGGTCACCAGTTGCCGGCTGTCCGAACAAATGAACCTTGACGAGGTTTCCCTCGAACGCGCCCTTGAGGGGGATGATGGACTGGATGAGGAGCGGGTTGGTGTATTTGAAGTAAAGGTGCATAACGCACATCATGCCGACACCCATGGCCTGGGCCTTGAAGAGCTCGCGCAGCTTGCCGAGATCGTACGCCTTGACGGTTGTAGCGACGAATTTGGGTTCCTCGCCGGATCCCATTGGCGCGGGCTCGACGTATTTGACGACGGTCATGTCTGCGCCACGTGTGTTAGCCTCTTTCCTCCTTATCAAAAGTGTTTGCGACTGTGGAGCGACGCACCATTCTTCTTGTTGATCTGCGTCTGGACGTAGAGGTAGATGCCCGCGATGACCAGGTTGGAGACAATGTAGAGTGCGCGCACGCCGTTGAGTACGTTGGGGTCATCAAACGGAATCTTTTTTGAGATTTGCATGAATCCCCTGCATATGTGTTAGATTTCTGATCTGCTGCGGGTGCGAAAAGGCTAGAGAGGAGCATACAGGATGATGACCAGGTTGGAACTGCGGCGAGGATTAGCAAACTGTCTTCAACAGCCTCGGAGGCCGGGGATGCATACATTTGTGGGTTGATAGCCATTGTGAGAGTTGGGGTGAATGAATTGAGGTAGCTAGGTAAGGAGCGCTTCGGCAGAGGATTATAAAAAGTCCTAGAAGAGAGGCGAGGTGTTGTGGCGCGAAACGTGGGAGAGAAGCCGAAGGGATGAGCGGGCGACTTTTGTGGTGGGCGAGGATAACCCTAGCGCGACCCAAGAGGCCAGGTTGCCGGCGGCGGGTTAACCTCAATTGGATTTCACCCTTCTAGGCTCGTCCAAAGTCTTCTCAGAACACATTCCTAGTTCACAACAGTATAGCGATAGTTTCCTTCGGTACAGCAGGTTTCACAAGTGCAGCAAAAAATATCGAGGTCTGGCAGTCTGCCAGCGCTCTGGCTCTACTTGAATTTAGGGTATCTTATCTATAATAGTCCTGTGGATGTGTATGCAAACCGATGCCTATTTGACACCCTTGGTACCCAATCCACATGAACCCATGTTTGTTCCCGAACGCCACGCTAAAATATCAAAAACTCCGGTGTCAACCTCATAGCCACCCCTGTCCCAATGCAACCAATGCCAACCAATAACCAGACCTTGTAGCAATCACATTACAACGCATTCGCGATCCGGCCTATTCTTTCCCTTTGACTTACCTTTGTCCAGGACCGCACCAGGCTCTCTACTCTTGCTCCTCATCCGGTCCTTCTTCTCTTTTTTGCTCTTGCTTCGTGAAATTCCAGATTCTTTCTTCTCTTTGACCGGAGACGGTGATTTTTGGCTGCCCTCAGGGCTTATGGCCTTGTCAGTTACAACACTAGGTTCATCGCCAGTACTAATAACCTCTGTCGTGATCAACTTGTTATTGCTGCCCCGGCCTGTCAGCCGCGACAGAGTAATGGACAATCGATTCTCGCCACTTGGACTACCCGGCCGACTTTTGCCAGCGCCGGACATCCATATACGTGAGCCGCGTCGGGAAACAGATAGGAAGCCGGTCTTATCTTCAGCTGGGGTTGTCGGTTGGGTTCGTCCACGAAGGCTCCCTTCGCCGTCGTCAATGGTTATGCTGGTCCGCCAATTACTGGAAGTGCTGTTCCGACTGGCTGGCTCGTCCGTGCGATTTGGTTCAGTATGCGCATCAGGCACGCTAATCTTTTCCCAGTCGCCAGTAGTATCGACGTCTGTTGCAGTAGTAGAGGGCACAGAGGCCAGCGTTTCACGGGATGGATCTGCAGACGGGATTCTGGACTGCGCCTCTGCATAGGTTGGGGGATCACCTCTGGAAGCCAGTTCTTCATCAATAGGTTGTACTTGGTAGAACAAGAGATACGGCGACTCTTCGCGCAGAGCTTGCTCAATGTCGACCTCGGTGACTCGTTGATTTGAAAGATCGTCGAACCGTAGCCATTTCGCTTCTTCTTCGTCAGATTCGGAATTAGCAGTTCCAGGCCTCCCACGAGCATTGGCACGAACAAGTGCAACGTAATGACCAGAATCCACTGATACACCTCGATGGCAGACGACCGATTGTAGCACTAGCTTGAAATTGCCGAATAATGGACCCTCTTCTTTCATTCTTTCGTCGGAAATGAAATGGGGCAAGCCAATGTCAAGTGGAATGTCGATATATGTATCGAGGCGCTTTGGGGTGCCATTTGGGTTCATAGTGTATCGCTTCAGACATATTCCGAGAACAGGGCGTTTTGCAGAGAAATGCGCTGCAACCTGCGCATCCGACCTTGGTACGTTGTCCGTGTACCATGCTACCAAAATTGTTAGCACCACATATATTGGCGGCAAAGTTCGACTTACGAATTAGACTGAAAAACTGCCATGCTGGCATGAGAATCTCCTTCTTAAGTAGAGAAGCTGAGCGGGGTCGACCGCCAGAGCTGTTGTCTAGCATATCCTCGACATGCTTCTTCTCGTCGAACGTTTGGGCTTCAGGAGGCTGGCGCAAGTAGCGCTTACCGAAGATGCTATCAGCACGGCGACGGCCTTCTAGCTCAGGTCGAACTGGTGCCAAAGGGGTTGTAGGCTCCAGCGATATGGGAGATGAGACAATTGGAGTCATTGGCGTGTCCATCTCTGCAGTTTCGATGTGTATCGACTCGTTTTTCTCAGAATCCTTGCCTGTGAATTCATCCCTGGTTGATCTTATGGTGGCAATCGTGTTTTGCCGTTGCAGGTAGCGCTTCACTTCGATTCTGTTGTTGAAATAGGTCTCTAAGCAGTCCTCGAGCGTAACGATACGACCTTCTTCTGGTTCTGGGATAGCAACTTCCAGGAGTCGTTCGTTTACAAACTTGTGGTCGTCTTCTTTATCTTCGCGCCCAGTATGATAAATGTCCATCTTTAGGGTAAGGAGTGGCAGTTCAAGTGCGCCTGTGATGAATGTAAAAGCTTCGGATGCGTCCTGCTGCCGCACCTGCGCCGCATCTTCCCAGCCACATCGTGCGAGCGAATCCTGAAGATGCTTTGTCTGTGATGGTCATTAGTTACGAAAGTGACGGTGGTGCGGATAGACCATACCAGGTCGACTCTGATAAGCTGGCCTGTGCGCAACAGGTTCACCCATAGTCTCAAGACAGCGGCCAGTTTCTTCCGGGGCTCATCCTCAAAATTGTCATACAACATGGCTTCAAAGCTATCAAGACGCGCAAACATGGCAAAGAGGAGCGCATCTAGATAGCATGTCACCATGTTCCGATTGATGGCGCCCAGCATGGGAACGTTGGGGTTGTAGTCCTTCAGTTCGCCCTCGAGCGATTCGTTGGCAAGGACTAAGAGATCGTAGGCCTTGTCGAGGTCATCCGGGTACCAAGCGAGGGCGTGTTCGGCTTGTTCCTCTGCCATTTTTGTTATGCCTGAACCGTGGAGCCGGGTAAGCAGCATCTTGACCTGTACATGGTCAATGAGAGTGCGTGCAGTCGTGTCTCTTGACGTACTTTTTTCTCGGCATGGTCGTTTGCGGGCGGCCTGGGCCCTTCGCTGGTGAATATTCTGTAGAGATCGAGCGGAGTATCTTGGGCTTGAGACTGGAGAGACATATGGTCAGAAGAGGGGGTGAGAGGGTCTTGAATGGTAGTGGGTGAGTGAAGAGGTCGACCTGGCGCTGAAGTGTGCAGTAATAGAAGACTGTCGCCTAGAGAATGCAACAATACAAATGGGAGCTTATGATACAGTGTCTGAACACCAGCCGACAGTCGCCGCCGGGGGCTCGTCCGGGGAGGCGACGGCAGACGGACGGTGCAGCATGGCGCAGGGGCGGGGGAGTCGAGCAAGCAAGTAGAAGCGAAAGAGGACGGGCGTACTTTTGATTTTGCGTGTTTGGAGGCGCGCTTTTCGCCGTGCTTGTCACGCCGGCTGAGAAATCGCGAGACGCCGTTCATGATGGCGGAGGTGGTAGGCAATGGGAGAATGCATGCAGAAGGGTGGGTGGTGGTGGTGAATGTGGAGGTTGACAGGGTGGTGGATAAGTCGCGGGGCAGACGGGCTTGATGCCAGTTAGAGGAAGGAACAGACGAGGCGCAGCCAAGGAACGGGATGACGCCGTGCCGCGGGACGCAGGCAACGACGAAGCAGCACGGCGAGTGGCGGCATAGGAAGAAGCACAAGGAGACAAAGAAGCACCAGACATGGTCGAGTGTACCAGCGACCGTCAGCCGCGCAGGAGCTGGTGGCCGTTGTCGTAGCCAGGTGCCTCTAGGTGGGGCTGCCCTATTGGCTACCAGAGCGGGCCCTAGCTGGCTGGCGGTACGATTATGTAGGCGATCCCTGCAGTCTTCATCGTCTAGCGTATAGCGTATAGCGCATGGCCTGGAAAAGTCCGCTGGAGACTTGACATGGGCCATGCTGCTGCTATCACGGACGACAATCACCCACCACGCCTTCTCCCGACGTCGTCATGGCCATGCGTGACCTGCCGCTGCGCACCGCCGTGGCCTTGGGAAACTCCGCCAGACCGGCTTTCCGCCCCGCCCTGCCCGCCCTCGCCCGCAATGCCTCGTCCCAAGCACTCGCAGAAATTGAGGACGCATCCTCCCTCCACACGCCACCACCGCCAGCAGATCTGGTCAAGGATTTCGACCCGGTAGCGAGGAGTCGGCTGCGGAGGAGGGGGAACAAGCAGCTGCCGCCTAGCAGGTACCGTGTCCCCGCCGCATGACCAAGGAATCCCTCCTCACCCGTCACAGGTACCAATATCGCTCGCCCAAGTACTATCGCGGTCCACTCCACCCTCACCAGCCCCCGCCAGAGTCAGATCCCGCATCGCGACTCTTCCAGCCGGGGCCCTTCAGTCTGTCGCGCCTCGAGCAAACGTACCAGAGCAAAATCGCCTCAGACCTGCTCACCCTCACATACCAGCACTATCCCCCAGGCTACCGGGCCCCCAAGACCGAACAGCGGTTGCGCGAATGGACTGGCGACTCGCCCTACTTCAAGAATCGCCCACTGCGGCCCCCGCGAGGCAAGGGTGAAGTCCTCCGCCTGCTCCAAGAACCCCGCACATTCCGCAATGTGCCCAAAATCACAAAGGTCGTCGTACATTCCATGGTGCCAGAAGCCCAAGAGAACAGCGGAAATTTGCATGTTGCCGGCATGGTGCTGCAAGCCATTAGCAATGTGCGAGCAATTTCGCACAAGGCAAGGCACAACGTAGTCGGCTGGGGATTACGAAAGGGCAGATATGTCGCAGTCACCTCTACCATGGAACGGGAAGACGCCGACAATTTTTTGGCCAAGCTGATCGACGTGGTGCTGCCGAGGATCAAGGAGTGGAAGGGCGTGCCCGGTTCATCTGGTGATGGACACGGCAATATGAGCTTTGGTCTTACCCCGGACCAAGTTGCCCTCTTTCCCGAGATCGAGGTCAACTATGACGCGTGAGTCTCCTGCCGTACCTGCCGCGGTCGAGTCACCTTGTACTGACACAACCTAGCTATCCTCCCAAGATGATTCCCGGTTGCCATATTACCATCCAAACCGATGCCACCAGCAACAAAGACGCCCGTCTCCTTCTTCAAGCCATTGGTATTCCATTTTACGGAAAACTTAACGACTAGATGCAGGTCTATTCCCGGCCGTGTACAAGACATGTAGTAAATGTAAAATACAGCCATGCTGGCTGCCACACGAAATTCATTCCGCAATCCTCTTGACCACTGTGATGAGCCAGACTTCCATTTGAGTCTCCTACTGGACATTTGAAAATTGACTAGTCCACCGAGATTCTTTCGTCCTAGCCAATTTGAAGCTGATTGCAAGAGAACGTCGATCCGGCCATTGCGCACGGATTCTGAACAACTTGAGATGTGATACTTGAAGCGTTACAGCGCAGTTCGTGGACACTTGACATGTTGTTGATGGAATGTGCTATTAACTTCCGATGAAGTTGAAAATACAGACAATTCTTGCAGATACTGAAGACCTCGGCACATTGGCAATCGGACAGTGGGTGCATCCAGCCGGTGCAGCTCTGCGGCCGTAGACAAACGAGTTATTTTCGTGATGTTGTCGGGCGCGGACGGACCCTGGCACGAGATTTTAGGGTTGGCCAAGCTCCTCCACCGAAGAACCCCCGGCGTGTCGCAGCTTCTCCCAGACTGTCAACCACCACCAAATCAATCCCGCGATACTCTCTCACTACCCCAGATTTGCTCTCGTGGCCACTCATCAGTCACGATGCAGTCTATCCGACAACCCCTGCGCTCTGCGCTATCAAAGGCCGCAACCAGGCAGTATGCGACCGCTTCCTCGCAGTATGCCGAGACGATTAAGAACCTTCGCATCAACAGCGACACAAAGGTTCTGTTCCAGGGTTTCACTGGAAAGCAGGGAACGTAAGTAAGAACGGAAGAGGCTGAAGCAAAGGGTAACACTAACACACGGGCAGCTTCCACGCACAGCAGGCAATTGAATACGGTATGCGACTAGCCAAAAGGCCATTTTGATATTGCGGGGGACAGGTCTGACACTTTGTTAGGCACAAAGGTTGTTGGAGGCACAAACCCCAAGAAGGCCGGCACCCAGCATCTCGGACTGCCCGTCTTCAAGAATGTGGCAGATGCTATGAAGGAGACCCAAGCTACCGCTACTGCCATCTTCGTTCCGTACGCTTCACCCGCCTACGACTCGTGTCGCTTTTGAAACCTAACCACGCTGCAGCCCACCGGTCGCTGCCGCGAGTATCGAAGAGGCTATTGCCGCCGAGGTTCCTCTGATTGTGACGTAGGTATACATATGGAAACTGAGGTACATGGAAACTTACAATAAACAGTATCACTGAGGGAATTCCCCAACACGGTACGCATGGGCAAGTCTTTCAGGAAAAACTCAGTGACTGACGGAAGTAGACATGGTGCGCATCACAGATATGCTCAAGTCTCAGAGCAAGTCTCGCATGGTCGGCCCTAACTGCCCCGGTATCATTGCTCCCGTATGTCCCCCATCCACCCACCCACGTACCTGGATAGCCTTCTGACTTTACTAGGGTCAATGCAAGATTGGTATCATGCCTGGATTCATTCACAAGCGCGGCCGCGTTGGTATCGTCTCTCGTTCCGGAACTCTTACCTACGAAGCTGTCAACCAGACTACCCAAGCCGGCCTTGGTCAGTCCCTCGTTGTTGGTATTGGTGGTGACCCCTTCTCTGGTACCAACTTCATTGACTGCCTGAACGTCTTCCTCAAGGATGAAGAGACCGACGGTATCATCATGATTGGTGAGATTGGTGGTTCTGCTGAAGAGGACGCTGCCGACTTCCTGAAGGAGTACAACACCGCCAACAAGCCTGTTGTTAGCTTCATTGCTGGTATCTCCGCCCCACCAGGCAGGAGAATGGGTCACGCTGGTGCCATTGTCAGCGGTGGTAAGGGTGATGCCAACTCCAAGATCACCGCACTTGAGGCCGCCGGTGTTACTGTCGAGCGCTCCCCTGCCAAGCTCGGAGCCACTCTGTACGACCAGTTCGTCAAGCGCGACCTGATATAGGAGGAAATTGTAATGTTTCATTAAACTCTCAAGGTGTGCAGGCTTACGAATTGTGGTAGCCGCATGGAGGTCTATTGTACATTGTAGTTGAAGCAATTGAAATCATCTCGCATCTAGATGTATCATCTGGTCGTGCAGATGTCTGTATCATTTTCTCAGAGACTTGTGGATTGAAACGTTGATTCACAAAATACCTCCGTCCCTCTTTTCACATGCACATTCAAACCCTTGATAGGTGATGGTCCAAGCTCATAATTTTCCAAAAGTTCCCCGCAAACCTCCGAGTTGCGTCCAATTGCGGAAGCACAGAGAACAACCTCGAACGTAGCCGACATGTCCAAGACAAAAACGAAGCGCGCGCGCCGGGAATTGAAGCGCGAGGGTGAGAGAAAAATAGCAGCGCACCACCGCAAGGCAGCAGCAAAAGCCGCAGAAACAAAACAAGCCGCGACAAAACCACCCGCAAAGAAGAAGCAAAAGATGAACTCGACCGGCGCGAAAGACGCACCACCAGCGACCAAGCCCGCTCACGTCCAACCCTCGCAACGGAAACACGCCATACCCTTTGGCGAATACGACCACATCCTCCTCGTCGGCGAGGGCGACTTCAGCTTCACGCGCTCCCTCGCCATCGAGCACGGCTGCGCAAACGTCACAGCCACCAGCTACGACTCGCGCGAAGACGTCTCAGCCAAATACCCAACCTTTATCCCCATCTCCACCGAGCTCTCCTCCCTCACACCCCCTGTCCCGCTCTTCCACTCCATCGACGCCACAAAACTCTCAACCTACAAGCATCTCCGCTGCAAGCGCGACGATGGCGACGATGACGAGGAAGGCTGGGACACCATTGCCTTCATGTTCCCCCACACGGGAGGTCTCAGTACAGATGTGAATCGCCAAGTCCGCGCGAACCAAGCGCTGCTTGTTGAATTCTTCAAGTCGTGTATTGATACCAAAGATGCGAAGCGCAGGTTGCATATTCTACAGACTCAGAAGAGGGAGAAGGAGGAGAGTAGGAAGAGGAAGAGGGATCATCAATCTCAGGGTGATTCTCAACAACAGGAACAGAAGAACAAGCAGAATGTTAAACCATTTCTTCGTATGGGCGGGAAGATAATAGTTACTCTTTTTGAGGGTGAACCGTACACTTTGTGGAATATCCGTGACCTAGCACGGCATGTTGGGCTAAGGGTAGTTGAGAGCTGGAAGTTCGACTGGGAGCAGTATCCGGGGTACCATCACGTTCGCACGCTGGGGGCGCTGGAGGGAGGTGGTGGGTGGAAAGGGGAAGATCGCGAGGCGAGGATGTATGTGTTTGAGAAGATTCCGCTTGTGGCTGATAGCGATGAGGAGAAGGAGATGGAGAGGCTGGCTAAGGTGGCGAGGGGGGGAAGGTTACCGAGTCAGAAGGAGGCGATGAAGGCGGCTTTGCAGGGGGAGGAGAAAGAAGATGACGTTGAAGAGGAGGAAGCTGAGGAAGACGATGATTGAGGCTATGAATCTCATCCTAAAAATTGAGATACCCGTCATGACTAGAAAAAGACCGTACCACCAATACAGGCAGGACTAAAACCCACGCCGGGGCATCCCGCTACGATAAACCGAAAAAGAAAAACGCCCCGCTATGCGCATATAACCTCCGTAGCAAAAAAAAAGACCGAACCTCCTGCTCCAAGGAAAGAAAGAAATGAAAAGAAACAACAAATCACATAATATACACCTTCCGCACCTCACTCTCCTTCCACTTCTCCCCCGTCAGCCCAGCCACAGGATCCCTAACAAATCCTGGCTCCGTCCCCACCTTCTCATTGAAAATACGCAATTTCTCAGAGCCATAGATACGGCCATTGGGCAGCACAACCGGCGCATCTTCAACAATACTCTTGGTATGCAGCGCATACGGCACATTGCGCGCTAGTTCTTTGAGCTCAGCACTGCAAATAGGGCAGACAGTTGTAGCGGACGAGGCGGCGTTTGTAGCTGAGGGAATGTATTCGGAGTGGCAGGCTGGTGTCTTGAGGGCGGAAAGACCTGCACTGAGGGCGATGTGGAGGAGGGGGCGAGGCGGAAGCGAGTATAGTGTGTGATGGGTTGAGACGAAGAGGTCTGCGAGGTAGGACCAGCGGGAGGGAGAGTAGAGGGACTAGATTAGGCAATGTTAGTTTGCGTTGATTCTCTCTTTGAGGGGAAGAAGAGAAAACTTACAGCATACGGTTCCACCTCATCCCACGGCCTATACGCCAACATACCCGCCGCCTGTCTCATGAGCGTAAAATCCCCACTCGCACTAAGATACTTCTTCGCATGCGCCCTGGCTTCCACTAACTTTGCTTCTCCTCCTCCTCCTTCACCACGACCAATACTAACACCGTGCATACCCCCCTCTTCCCCCTCCAACCCATCCATCCCACTCAATCCGGCCTCATGCCCCTGCCTCACAAGCTCAATATACTGCTGCAACCTCAACTCAAACTCCAGCATGCTTCCTCCCTTCTTGAGCTCCTTGCCATGTTCCTTGCACCACTCGAGTGCCAGCGCCGTACTCATGCCCTCACGGAGGCTCCGCTCGATCTTGTGACATGCTACGAATGCTTCTACATCGACTAGATCTTCGATCCCCTTGCTTTGCGCAAGGCATGCTGCGCTCTCGGCATATCCCTCCCGGAGCAGGTAGTCGACAAGTAACCTGCTAAGTCGTGTGCGCGACCATTCGTCGTATTTGACGTCGACGAGACTCTGGACTTGGTAGAGGTCTTGTAGGTGCTGCAGGCGCGCTTTGGCAGCGCGGTGGAGACGGTTTTCTTCTTCGTGGAGGCCCTCGAGTTTGCGTTTTAGGCCTTGCATTTTGGTAATCAGGGAGTCGAGCGAGGAGAGGGTTGCCTCTGGGGAGGCGTTCTTGTTTGCGGCTTTTGCGGTTGCGCTGAGGGCGGTGGGCAGGGCGGTCGAGGAGTGCTCGATGACGCGCTGGGCGTTTTTGAAGTTGCGCCGGGAAAGCTCATATGGCATGCGGAGGAGAGGTTGGTCCTGGAATTGTGAGTTAGTGAGTGCCATCTTGCGCGTAATTTAACCGGACATACGAGCAAGAGATGCGACTCGGCATTGAGTTTCGTGCTCGTGAGCTCTGCCATGGCGGCCTGATGTTTGCTGTGAGTAAACAATGAATGTAGTGAGATACCCCGGAGGATCTAGGGCTCTTCGAATCCGGTGGGAAATTGCTGAACCAAGGTTACCAACGAGTGGCTAATGTGAGGATGTCCATGTTCAAGCTCCACCGCGGAGGTCAACTTGCGGGGATGCTCGTCACAGCTCATAGTTCGCAGACCGGCACGTGCAGGCCCACTACCACTTGTCCATGCTCTCCTGTTATGTCCGTTGCATTCCGAGTTACAATCACGTCATATTAACAACTTACTTCTACGTTTTAAGTACATGCTGCAAAGTTCACAGAATTTATCAAGACATGTATGCGATATGATTTCATTGCAAGGCAACTCTAAAACTCCTCTAAAACCCAATGCATCATAACACATAATCCAGATGTCTCTGCTCGTACAGAGACACTGACGCAGGTAGCGATGAGCTGCCGGCCTACTGCAGAGGTATCTCAAACCTGCTCTAAGGCCATTACTTTTAGCTATGCACCCGCGCCCCGCTGCTCAAAGGACGCATGCATTTTCTAAACCAATTCCGAATTATCCATTTAGAGAGCACCAGTTGAAGCCATCTTCTTGCGGAGGTGATCCTTGTACTCGCCAATGGTACCATCCCACCGACGGACAGTCTTGTGTTCGCAAACCATGATATCCTTGGCAATCTTGTCGAGCAATCTGTTTTGAGGTTAGCATGTCGAACAAACATATCTCTGGGAGAATGAACGTACCTGAAGTCGTGAGAAACAACGACGACACCACCGCTGAAGGCGTTGATGGCATCAGCCAAACTGTCAATAGTGGGGATATCCAGACCGTTAGTAGGTTCGTCAAGAAGCAACATGTTGGGGCCCTCGATAGCGAGCAGAGCGAAGACAATACGAGACTTTTGACCATCGGACAGAGTAGCCATCTTGGACGTCTGTGCCTCACCAGTCATACCATAGCGACCGAGCTGTTGACGCCAGTATTGGATGTCCTGGCTGATGTGGTGGAACTTGTCGCGGACAAAGTCAAGGGCAGACTTGGTGAGGTCGAGCTGTTCAGCAGAGTGCTGGCTGTAAACACCGAGCTTCAAGTGAGTATGGCGCGATACAACACCAGATGTAGGGCTGAGCTTTCCGGTGAAGATGTTGAGCAGCGTTGACTTTCCAACACCGTTGGGTCCGACAAGAGCTGTTCGCGAGTCCATGTCGACACCAAAGTCGAGGTTCTCGTACAGGTTGTCTTTTGGATCTCCAGAGTAAGAGAAGGTGACATCGTCAAGCGAAAGCACAGGGGGTGGTAGCTTCTCAACGTCGGCGAAGCGGAAAGTAAAGACTTTGTCAACAGCAACGGGCTCGATGAGACCGTCGGCCTCCATCTTGTCCAGGATCTTCTGGCGAGACTTGGCTTGCCTGACCAAGTTGGCGTAGGTACCGGCGGAAGCAATGAACTTCTTGATGTGCTTGATTTCGTCTTGCTGCTTCTCGTAGGCCTTGGTCTGGTTGACCTCCTGCTCGGAACGGGTCTTGTGGTAAGCATCGTAGTTACCTCCGTAGTAGAGGAGTTTCTTTTGACGCATATCAATCATGTTTGTGCAGACACCGTTCAAGAAGTCCATGGAGTGGGAAACGAGAACCAGAGTGCGCTCCCACTTCTTCATGTACTCCTCAAGCCACACACAGGCCTCGAGATCCAAATGGGCAGTGGGGTCGTCGAGCAAGAGCAGAGCAGGCTTGACGAAAAGAGCTTTGGCAAGCGCAACACGCATACGCCAACCACCGGACATGTCCTTTGTCTTCTTGTTGATGGTAACCTTGTTGAAACCAAGACCAGTAAGAATAAGGGAAGCGCGAGTATGGAAGGTGGATGGGTCCATATCTTCTTGACGCTGTTGACTAGTTAGTGGGGGTCAAAATATGATTATCCGACTACAACGTACCTCGTAGATATCCTCGAGGAGAGGGCTCTCAGGGCCGTCCTTCTCAAGAATGTCCTCAGCCATCTTCTCGAGACGAGCCAGCTCAGTCTCAGCCTCACGGACGACCCAGTCCAAGGCACCCAACTCAGTCTTGGGAGCACCCTGGTTCAGCAGGTAGATGTCGATGTGCTCTGGAAAGGGGAACTCGCGCTTGTCGATGGCCTTTAGCAGCGTCGTCTTTCCGCAACCGTTCTCACCCAACAGACCGTATCGGCGACCGTAGTTGATCTCGATGGTGGAGTCGTTGAAAAGAACCTTGCCGTGGAACACGAGCGACGCAGAGATGATCTTGACATCGCGCGACTGCTCGAGCGAGGCAAGCACACCAGTGGTTACACGGTCAGACAGACCATGCTTATCTTGTTGCATAGTGAGCTTCTGAACCTCCTCGTTCAGCTCAAGATCCTCGGGGTTGTCGCCATTCTCAGAGTTGGCCTTGGAGGCATTCTTGGAGTTGGCCTTGGACGACAACTTGGAAGTGGCCGACTTCTTGGGCTTGGCGTCGCCATCGGCGGCGCGCTTTGCCTGACGGGCGGCTTTGGACGCAGAGACCATGATGTCTTAATATGGCGTCAGGGGAAGGGACTCGGGGATGGTGGAGGTGAAGAGAAGGAAATTTCGTAGGGTTGGGATCAAGGGCCAATCTTGTGCCCCGCTAAGCCTCTTATCGATAATGCCCAAGCCTGATCGTTTGGGTTTCCGGTCAAGGCACAACGCGTCTCTACTGGAAATGAAGGGACTGGAAGAGACGGAAAATGCAGTGTAGAAGAAAGGAAGCAAGTGCAAGTGATGGATGTGAAAAGATCAAAAGATGGCAATCGACAACGGTGGCTCAAACAACAAAGCCTTGCGAATCAATTTTCTTACTTGTGGCGAAGGCCGCGCACGGCCAATGAACGCTCCCCCACTACGCATCATAGGGCAACTAAGGCGCTGGCATGGCTGCATGTGCCAGGTCAGACTCACCCATGCACATCAAGAGACATCACGACAGGCTTTTTGATGGGAGTTACTGCACTGGAATGCTTTGACCTTCGAAAGCTCTTCTGCATGCGCCTGAAATATGGCACAGGATCAGTCAGCCCCTCTCCAGCATTTCTTGGGAAATGGCAGACATAAATAAAACTCTTGTCGGCCAATAGCAAGGTAGGAGGCATAGAAAAAGTAGAAGTATGCACATTTGATAAGAACCCGAACTAAAACACAGAAAAACAAAACATTATAAAGAATCTCAACTTTGGGATGGTTCAGCTTTGTGGGGGATGCTCCTCGGAACTGCGGAAATCCCAGTTGTTCTTATCTATACTGTACTCCACGCCATGATAAGCCCAAACACTATATACCAGAACGGCTGCTCCTAGTCTCACTGCAGCTCGGCACACGAGTACTACACGTTCCACTGTCTGTGTCTTCTTTCTCTGATATTTGTCCCCTTTCTGAATCAGTCCTCTTTCTCAGCCGCTCTCGCAGCCTTTCTAATACTGCAGTCTCCTCCGCGTTCAAGCTCATGTCATCTGGTAATATGACTTCGGCGCCGTTGATCTCGATGCGGTCGCCATCTTGATCATAATGTTGCTCTTCAATGGTCTTCTTTCGTTCTATCCCGCCTCTTGCATCTGGAACTACTTCCTCGTCTTCGACTTTCGCCTTGCGCACATCCAGTGGCGTCCACCAGTAGACCGGGAATTGTCGCTGAATGTTGTTTATGATCAGTCCGACTATCACCATCAAGGTAGTACCCCACATGACCAGGCCGACAAAATAATAGCCCATAGCTGTGATGATGGGATCAGTGGCCGCCAGCACAGCGGATGCGCCACCAGGTGGGTGTACGGTGTTGGTCAAAAGCATCACGGCCGATGCGCAGCCGCAACCTGTGGCGCCAGCAATCCATTTGATGGATTCGTAATCTGAATGATACTGGAAAAGCTTCGATATACTAACACCGATAAGTGCTGATAATGCATGACCGAGTATGGCGTTCCGTGGTTGACCAAGAGGTGAGCGGATAGAGTTGTATTCCAGAACAGCAGAGGCACCCTATACACAGTATATTAGTGTCTGCCACCAACGCCACCTCCACACAAGAGTACTCACAAAAGAAGCAATCAACGCAGGCGGATGATGCCACTGAATGCTCCCAGTATTGTTAAACACACCAGCCACAACTGCCAAACCACAGAACGCGCCGACCAACGACCAAAACGCCCCCAGCACATTCCCAACGTCCTGCCGCGTCTCCTTCCTATACCCCAGAAACCTCGATACGGGAGCCGGAAGCCTATGTAACGGTGACGGAACAACAACGCGATTAAGATAGCGATCAATGTCGAAATCCCACTCCCTGGCGCGCGAAAGCATCTTGTTCGCCATACTCGTCGTAACAGTTCGGAACACCGAAAAACCGAAGAAAAGAGAGATTGAGCAAAAAAAAAAACACCCAACTATATGTCGCAAAACCGCTAGCTTTTTCCCCAAACCCAAACAACAAGGACAAACGTCAGACAAGAGTCAAAAAATATAGAGAGGTATTATAACGGAAGCCTCACCCGCCCTCCCCCGCCCTCCCTTTCCGTCAAACCACTTTGTACCTATGCAACATGTTCCGACACCCGGATTTAATTAGCCCATGTTACAATTCTCCTCCTCTCCCCCAAAGAAAACGTCACTTCGCGCTGTCGACGTCGTACCCGCGCCCTATTGCACGTGGTGCACAGCGACAAAACGGCGGTAATGGCGCAGTTGGTGGGCTCACGCGCGAGTTTGGGTTTACGTAACATTACGTACCATAAACGCGCGACTGTGACAGCATCTCCTCGGTCCCCGCGGATTTGTTTGGTGTTGCGGATATAGGTGAAATGGGGTTTTGTGATGGATTTGCTTTGCTGCTTTGTTGCTGTGAGACGGTGTGATGGGTGTTTTAGGGGTGTTCTATGGTGAGTGTGTGCGGATGGCAGCGTTGTTGCTGTGGGACTCTGCGCAACTCGAGGACTTTTTGATGATTGTGTTCTCCTCTTGCTCAATGAATGAGAGTCTTACCATCTGTTTGATCTACGGAGATGCGACACAGGGTTGTGTTGTACATATGCATATGTTCACCACAGTCTTAGCGTGCAGTTATCATAGTCGCTAATCTGTGGTAACCACCGGTGATCTGCATCGCGTTCGGCTACTCCCACATCACAGACTTGCTACTAAGGAATCATTGCTTGTTGCACTGATGGGGATATGGTGCGAAAATTACAATGGATATATGCCTATTTGAATCGCTCTGTCTTACGAGAAATTGAAACGCCTTGAATTCCGAGTGAAGCACGCCTACACATTATAACGCCTTCGAAGATCGACACCGGCTTTTGACTCCATGTCCATACACTGCAAAGCGCTCCAGCTACGTTAGGTACCACGGAACAAGAATTGCAAATCCTCAGGACTAAGGCGATCCATGGCAACTTTGTCATTGTTGACCGTTCCAGCAATCATGGCCGCCTTTTTCTCCTGCAGCGCAACCATACGCGACTCAACACTGTCCTCAATGCAAAGACGTGTGATGACACAGGGACGACGCTGACCGATACGATGGCAACGATCCGCAGACTGCCACTCGGCAGCGGGGTTCCACCATCTACAGACATATTAGCAGACTGAACATTAGCAGGGGAGAATAAGACTCACGGGTCGACAATGAACACCCTAGAAGCCTCCGTCAGGTTAAGAGCAACACCACCAGCCTTCAGAGACACCAGGAAAACCTCAACATCCGGATTCGTCATGAAATGGTCAATGCTCTTCTGCCGCTGTGCAGGCGTCATGCTACCATCCAACATGACCGTGTTGAAACCAGCGCGACGAAGACGCCATTCAATCAGTTGCAGCATGGAAGTAAACTGGCTGAAGACGATCGACTTAAGCGTCTGCTTCTTGCTTCGGAGCTTGTACAGATCGTACACCAACATCTCAATCTTGGTGGAAGAAGTCCAGTTCTCCATCTTGATGCGGTTGATAATCGATGTCTTCTTGACAGAGTCCTCATCTTGCTCGAGCTCGGGCTGCTCAAAGTCGATGGACAAGGCGATATGGCAGCGGGGACAGTCAGCCTCGGTTCCTGAGGCCTCGCAAGTGTCCATGAAGTCCTTAATACAAGCACGACAGAACTCGTGGCGGCAGTGCGAGCGAACAGCATCCTCAGCCGGTTCATCGCAGATATTACAGACATAGACATTACCAGCGCCTTCACCTGCCTTCTTCTTAAGCAGCAGATCAGGATGGTTAGCGACTTGACGCATCTGCATAATCAGACCGAAGATATTGGCGTAATTGTTGAGCATAACACCCTGTGCAACATATGTATCGAACTTGCGCGAAGAGTTTGACATGATTGAGGTCGAGAAGTCACGCTCCACTTCACTGAAGAACTCGTTGTGAATGATGATGTCCTTCATAGGAAGCTCCATGGAGTTAGTGTGGTCGCGCTTCATGCGTCGCAACATGATACGAGCAGTGATAAGGTGAAGCTTGGTCAAGGCCTCTTCTCGAAGCTCAGGGTCATCGCCAGTGATGGGATTAAGCAGCTCCTGGTTGAACACGGAAATGTGCTCGGACGCTCCGTGGTTGCACGCGACACACATGTGGTCGTCATTTGTAGCCCAGTGGAGCTTTTCGCAATCACACGAACGACAGAAGTAATCTGCGAAGGGACGAACCTCCAAGAAGCGAAGGAGTGAAAAGAACTCTCCAATACGGTTCTGAACTGGTGTACCGGACAAGCACCACTTGTAGTCGCTCCTCAGCGCAAAGCAAGCCTTAGCTACACCTGTGTTGCGTGACTTGATGCTGTGCGCTTCATCCAGGATGAGGCGGTGATAGTAGATGGCGTGGAGTGGCGACGCTTCCTTGATGATATCTTCTCCGCGAGACCATCCTTTTGTCTCCTTGCGATGCAGCGATTCCAAAGAATTGTAGGAAACCATGATGACATCGTAAGACTTCAACTCTTTGACTGTCATCTTTTTGCACTTGGCGTTTGTGCCGTGATACACAAGAACTTTGAGCTTGTTGTCTGTGTACTCGCGTATCTCATTCGTCCACTGCATAAGAGCAACGGGTGGAACGCACACAAGCGTAGGTTGCTTCGCGGGGTAATCAGACATAATCAGGGAGACAGCCTGGATAGTCTTGCCCATGCCCATCTCATCTCCGAGCAGGCCACCCTTGTAGTGAGTCTGTTCCTGGCGAATCATCCAACTGAGTCCCTCAAGTTGGAATGGCTTCAGTCGTCTGTTGATTGACTGCGGCTGCTCTGCCTTTTGGACCTCAAGAACAGGAATCTTCTTCAAATCATCCCACATGGTCCGTAGTTTGGGGTGCTGCTGTTCAGCTCGCTCACGGTTCATGGCGCGCTTCCGCTCCCATTTATCTGCAATGTGCGCAAACCTAGCCCGTCGTCCATGTGCTTCAACCCTTTCATCGTGGGTCAACTGCTTCTTAGTGCCTCGAGCCACCCTAGCTGGCCTCGCTGCAGCAAGCTTTCTCAGGCGTGCAGCGGTTTTCTTTAGTGGCTCCTCATCGCTGTCGCTTGGAAGCATCGCCTCTTCAAGAGCGATCAAGGACTCAAGATCATCATGCTCTTCATACTCATCAGGTAGGAAATCTCCGCCATCAGATTCTTCGTCATCAATGAAGTCATCTTCTGTGAATTTGCCCTTCTTCGCACTTGAGCGAGCAGAGCGACCCCGCTTGATCGGAACGTCTTGAGCCTTGCCTTTTCCTTTGCCGATGTAGGGAGGTGGCGAGTCCAACTCATCCAACTCTGAAATTTCGTCCTCATGTTCATCTTCTCCCATAACCTCGTCTTCATCCTCTTCTTCCGTCCTCTGACGCTTGCTTCGCGGCATATCCATTTCGTCCTCGAGCTGCATTTGTAGAGCAATCTCCGCATCCATATCAAGTGTAACACTATCAGAGTCAGAGTCTAATACCATGTTACGGGATCGTTTCGAGATCGATGCGCTGCTTTGCGACGGTGTAGTGGCCGTGTTGCGGCCACGGCGAGCGGGCATCTTTCCACGGTTAACTGAAGTAGCTGGTGTAGTTGATATGCTCGTCCCTGGCGTTTCATAGTCTGAATTATCTAGCGAAGGTGAACCAGTCGAGCTCTCCTGTTCTGTCTGTCGGGTGTTGACACTAGAGAGCCGACTGCGAGTGGCAGGCGTCTTCTGAGTTTTGGAAGCGGGGATCGAGACTGCCTTGAGAACCCGACGAGTTTGTGTAGATGCCTTGGGTACAATGGCTTCAGTCGTATCGCTCTCTTGGTCAGAGGAATTCAGAACAAAGGTGCGAGAAGCGCGAGTGCGTTTCTGCTGGTGGCGAGTATCCACTGCTGAGGAATCTTTCATTTCTACAAACATGTCAGCGCCACAAACGATGCAAGGCAATCAACAAAGTGTTTGCCCAGAGCAGCTTGCACATACTAGCTGCAGGAACGGGCGAGCTTGCGGGGGCGACATCGTTGGCGACGCTGTTGGTTGACTTGCGGGTGGATCGCCGCAGCGCCATGGTGACAGTGATTACGGAAAGATAGGCAACTGCGACTGTGAGGAAAGATTGGAAGTTGTGGTAGACGGAAAATCCGAAAAAGGCGAAAGAGCGACGGTGAACCTCGATAAAGGAATGGAGATGTGAGAATGAGTGTGAGTGCAACGATGGGTCAATGGCGAAATACCCCTGGCACTCCCGCGCCGATACAAAGGAACGATCGCGCGTTCACGGGATCTGAGTGGCAAATTCAGGGACAAGGTGGCAACACGGCAAGGAAGTGCGAGTATGCCGATCTTTTGGTGTAACAGAAGAGGCGAAATGTTCTGATTGTCCCCTTCAGCCGGTAAAGTCGCCACAACTAGGTGGGGTTCTGCGACGCGTCTCCGTCATGAGAAACCGCGAAAACACGTGACTGCTACCTATATTGCCCGTATACGGACTAGTACTATCCCTCAGTTTCACTACACCTCTAAGACAATCAGTCGTGTACTTCGACAAAACCACTGCCTATTCATGATACAGTATAAAGCACAATTATTTTGTATTATCCTGAGTTCTACCAAATAACGTTACCGCGACTCCATCACGAATGAAAAGTGATGATTAAAGCCCACTCTGGCTACATATTCAACCTGAAGTCCACCTTCGAAGATAGTTGGTTGAGAGGATTTGAATGATTGGGATACGTTATATGATAGTCGTATGGTTAAGAATTTACTATTCTGTATTCAGGAGAAACGTAGCACGATCATCTGCTGGTATTTTAGAACCATGGTACTCACACGCGTGATCACGTGAGACATTCACTCATTGCTTCCAACAGTTATAGTCTTGCAATTATACCTTTTCTCAAAAACAAAGCACACAGTCACCACGATTATGATTTTGAACTTGTGTTATTGGCCAAGGACCGCTTCATCACAGCTGTTCTTCATTTTCATGACCTCTCGTACAAACGATAACTCTTGTCTTGCTCTTAGCAAGGCCGTTTGTGCTGACTAGTAGAATTTGACCATCATCCAATGTCTTCGCTATTTTGGATCTGTCAATTTCTTAAAGGGCATGCGAGCAAATACACAATTTACGAAAGAAATCTAAGATACTATGTGGTTTGCGCGATAGGCCTACCTCGTTCCGTTTGTATCATCCATTCTCATAACTTCCAGCAATTATGCGTAGGAACTAGTGGTCATCAAGAGTGTTTGGGATCATTCACGGGTTGAAAACGAACGAGATGTACTCAAAAGATTCCAGCAACGCACTCCGTACCTCCGACCCTTGATTGATGAAATCAACGAACCGTCTGTCCCTATAACTATAATTCTGGAACGCTTGCAAGGAGACCTTCTAGAAGGGTCTGCTACGAAAACCCTTAATCGACGGGAATTAAAATACGTGTCGCGATGCGTCTTTAAGGGAATCAATATTTTACATGAGGACGGGTTCGTGCACGCAGGTACGACGCTAATTTCCATGAGCCATGGAACACTACCGCTGACATATGGTCATTCGGTACTATGGTAGGTCGCAACCTTACTACTATTGTGGGTAAAAATCCAAACTGATGTCTTCATAGCTCATCAGTCTCATTTACGGTGGACGCCTCAACCTTTTCAGACCCAAGGGAATGAAACAGGACAATGAAGAGTACTCATGTGGGGTTATAGAGAATCAACTCAGATTCTTTGCTCCTTACCCAGCCAAAATTGCTGAAATTGCGCACATAGAAGCGGCTCTATCCATTCTTTACCTCGTGCAAACAATTGCGCAGAAGAGGAAGACTTCATTCATACAGGTTACTGAGAAGGAAGTAACCAAAAGAGACAATATCTTCATATCCAAGATGATGAAGCTTGACTGGAGAGACCCCCCAACAGCGAAGGAGCTGCTGGAAGACGATTGGTGGAAAAATGATGATGAATGACACTGGTTATGACAACGCCGGGGAGGCGTGATCTTTTGACTGTAGAAGAAGAGCTATGGCAGAAGACAGCGATAGAAAGCAGTATTGAGATGGATGGAGAGAGGGGGCAGCCGATGCAACATGTGACAAAGCGTGACAAAGTAAGCCTTGATATTGAACAGATGCTGTACAACTAGAACTAATAATCTCAATTCGTTGCAATCATTACCATGCCGGAAAGCGATACTAGCTACCTTAGTATAACTTCCCCTCCTGTGCTAAGGCGATTTTGATGTGTCCTGGCGATCTCAAGCTACAATACAAGGTAATGAGTATTTTACTACTAAAAAAACTGTAGGCTGATCTTGAAATCTGAAGCGAACATCCGCCACTATGCCTTCCTGGATGCGCTGCTTAGTGTCACAGGTTACAATGAATCTGGGAACAAGGTTGATCGTTACTTTGGATTGAGAAACATAAGTTAACTATTTACGGAAGAATATAGATGATCTATACATTGTGATATGAATGGCTGGGAGGAGCCTAGAAAATAGCACTTCCCGTACCTCATGCCTCCGCCAATGCTTAGCAACCGCTGGCGCAGTTCCTACCACCTGGGCATGTCTATAGAAGTATCAGCAAACCACTCATCCAAATACACAAAAGGGACGAGACTTACGTTTTTGCAGGCATACCACACGTTTCCATCCGTGCAGCACCCAGCAGCCTCAGGGCAGTAGGTCCAGCTTTTCTCCTGGGTACCCTGCTTAGTAACGGCAGCCTTGTCGGACCTGAACTTCTCAGATCTGTTTCTGCATTCCTGTAATTCGAAAGAATTAGCCTTTAGAAATTACACATCGTGGAAGAAGAACACTTACCCAGGCAGCGGCGGAGGTAGCCCAAAGGAGTACGAGAGTTGCAATCTTCATAGTGACGGTGTTTGGTCGTTGGGGAATTAGGTTGGTGTGATTGTCTGGTGGAGTTTGAAGTGCTGGATGAAGAGTGAAGAAGGGAATGGGCCTTGGATGAAGCCCCTCTTATGGTATTTGAACAATAGATCAACTAACCATAAAAAGTAGGATCTCTCCCGTTAGTAATGGGTTGGTTAGCAGTGCCTATGAGTCGGTTTCGGCCCTACTATGGATTTATGGATCAATTAGTTTACATGTGGCCGTGTTTCCCTGCGTTTTACAGGGCCGGTCCTCGCACTGGACCCCTGTTGTCAGAGTACGGCTTCATAAGGCTAAAACAAATTAGCCAGCTCGAGCGTCACTAAGTACTTAGTGGTGCGGTCGATTAAAACTGAGGAGGTGTACATGAAGACAGCGGTCTTCATCACTTTGAAGCTAGCTAACAATACTATTTATTTTCTGGAAGATCTTCACTTTAGCCCCGGAAATTAACTCAGAAAGAGGTCGTGGTGCATATGCCCTCTGTTCTGAATGTTGTTTCAAGCTAGGAGATCAACACAATGTGTAGGCAGTTTCTCCGCAACCAGCAACACAAGCTTTTCTCGACGGAATAATTTACGGGAAAAGCAACACAAGCTCCCTATCTCCCCTTTCTTAGTATGACAAGCTTCTAGGCATTTACTACTGGCGCTTTCATCTATATTTCTGGGTACATTAATGTGCTCTTCCTGGTTCACCGCTACTTAGATAGTATATCCAGACCTTACTTCATGGCTCGAGTGCTTCTTTTTTTCGAGATAAGGCGCGAGAGCTTTACCCATTTCACAGTAGCCCAATAACAAAGAAACTGGTCTTTCCGCACGTGAAGCGGCCCGTATCATATTCTGGAATGTGCAGACCGGCTTAATGCGTGGTGCGCGGTGCACAGTCCAGCCAATGCGCGGTTTAACTTGCCCGCTGATAGGGCATAGAGCAACAATTCCGTCCCGTCTATACTGAACCCCGTCTAACCCTAGGTGAATTGAGGATTAGAGCCGGAGTCGGATATTAAATGCTCATTTTACCAGGGACAAGAAAAACGTGGGGAAGAGGCCCTAGGTGTGCGACTATACTTACAGCCCTGAGAACACCATGTGTCGTGCGTAGCATCTTGTTGATGTCATTGTTCTGTGGTTCGAAACATTTGAAACGATGAACTGTTACCTCCAAACTCAAGACACGAAAGATGGCGTGTGGTCCCAGTGTGATAGTTTCAGCTACTTAGTATATCCCTGTGTTCTAGAAATATCAAGGGATGATGGATATCCCAAGTCCGACGACCCGAACGCGAACCACATTGCATGGAGTTCACATGTAGCGCCCAACCACAGAGATGTTCACAAACCATCTCGACACTAGTATACAGAACTAGGAGAGGCATATCCACGTGGGAAAGTTAGGCGACCGCAAATACCACCATAATACCTATTAGTTCTTCGCGTCTCTATACGGAGCTTACAACGGCCCGCTTCGTATCCCCCGACTGTCGATTCTTGAATCAGGACATCAATTCTCAAACTAACGCTTTGCAATGATTTCTTTTTCGTTTCAAAAGAAAAGAAAATCAACCATTCTGACATTTTAAACAATATAGGGAATTTATGGTTGAAACCAAGCACAGGAAAGAAGTGTTGATGCGCCATTCTCATGCGGCGCTTTTGCACGCGGCGCGCACAGACCACTCAATAGCTGCAGATGGCGAGACAGGGCATGACGACTTGAAGCTTTCGGGTCATTCATCCACCCAACCACAACATCGCCATCACGACAACGACAAGTCCTCGAACCGTCCATCTCACTCTCGAAATCGCCGTCCCGACGTTATCGCCTTTCTTCGGATACCCACAATAGCTAGATTCGCGCTGCCTCGAAAGCGCCGTTAAACAAGCTATCCGCCTCCAAGCGATACCAGAGCTTCAAACCGCCCAACATGGTCAAGCCTGTTGTTTCCGCCATGAATGCTTGGACATGGTATGTGCGATCCAGGGCTGTTTGGAAGGAAGATGAGGGAGCTAATGTGTTGGCAGCATTGTCGTGTCCCTGTTCGCGATTGTCATTCTGTCCACGCTGGGAGCACTGTTCAGAGTACGTCTACCCTGCAAATGCGACCGCACGGTATCAACCATGCTGTCGCGAATCTCTCAGCATCAAGAGGAGTCGAGGAAATAGCTAACATGCGACTTGTAGGGAAGTAGCAACACGGTAATGGGCGGAGTAGAGGACCCCAAGGACGGTGGCGCGGTTGCAGGCGCACTCTTTGGGGCCGTCTTCATATACATTGTACGCTCTCACCATCACGTAGGGCAGCGCGATTTGCTAACTGGATGTAGGGCTTCTTCGTTTTCTGCGGACTGCAGGCCCTCCTTCACATGCGCGAAAGCCGTCGTGGCGCGATAAGCCTATCATGATTTCGGATACCACGGAGTACACAATCGTAGGATAATGCGGCCTCGAGAAAGATCAGAGGATCGCTAGACGCGATGCAGGAAGGTCGGGTTGATAAACAGCGACGCACCTGTTGAAGAGAGATGGAAGTATTTGTATCTTGTAACATGGCATATGGCGTTTGATGGATACAGGCGATTTCTGCGGTTTGCAACAAGACGTTTGATTTAGTACAATACATGCTATTTTCACGCGCGTCTGTTGACCCTGTGCATCGCATCCCTTTGGTACCAAAACTGAACAAATACAACGACCCAGCGCCAGCAATGCACACTCATCTACTATCATCAATCCATGCCCTAATCACGTGGGCTTACCACTCCCTCTCCCACAATGGCTCGAGCGTCTTGCTCATGTACGGCCCATCCAGCCAGTACCCAAGCTTCGCGTAGTAACTGCGGACACCCACACCCGAGATGACACTAATCTTCGTACTTCCATGCTCCTCCCTCGCTATCCGCTCCGCCTCCTCCATCAAAAGCGTGCCATAGCCCTGATGCTGGAACCTCTTTGGATCCCTCGCATGTATCGGCACCGCTGACCCATACACATGCAACTCGCGCACGAGCGACGACGGCTGGCCCGTCAGCTCCGGACGAAACGTATGTTCCTTTGAGCACTGTCGCAGACGCAGCAGCGCGATAAGGATATCCTGTTTGGGATCCTCATATGCGAGAAACGTTTCCCACCCACCGTTGGCCGTGTAGTCTCTGCGCACGAGTTCGACTTGGTCCGGACGAATCTTGTGCTTGACTTCGTTGATGCCGACTTCCCTCGTCCGCACATCGCGACATGAAGTACCGAAGTCTTTCATGCGGGCGAGTGCGAGTTCGCGCAGGTTACCGTTTTCAACGCCGGAAGTGACGAGCGGCATGGGGATGTCGCGTTGCACACGGTAGATACGAGTCCATGGAGGTACGAGAGCGAGGATGCGAGCGACGATGTCGATGAGGGCGTTGGGGGTGTAGTTCTTGTAGCGGCCTGTTCGCCATAGCTCGTACAGTCCCGTACCACGGATGACGAGCGTAGGGTAGATTTTCAGTCCGTCGGTGCGGAAGTCCGGGTTGGAAAAGTACTCGACAAACTGGTCGAGGTCGCGCTCCATGCCTACGTTGGGGAGGTCGGGCATCATGTGCGATACGACTTTGAAGCCTGCGTCTTTGGCGAGGCAAAAGGTTTTTGCTACGGCGGCGACAGTGTGGCCTCTGTTTGTGTCGCGGGCTACGTCTTCATAGAGGGACTGTACGCCAATTTCTAGACGGGTGCATCCGTATCGTAGCATCGATGAGAGATGTTGGTCCAGACAGTAGTCTGGTCGTGTTTCGATGGTAATACCGACGCACTTGATATTGCTCATTTCACCGGCTGCAACGGCTTCATCCACGTCCTTGGTTTGGTACCCGGATAGAGCGTTGTGCAACTGTGATATGAACTCATCTCGATAGGACTCTGGCAAAGACATGAATGTACCACCCATAATGATGTACTCAACCTTGTCGACACTGTGGCCTAGGGACTTGATTTGATCCACACGACCACGAGCTTGCTCATACGGATCATACCGCGCTCGGATGGCACGCATAGACGTTGGCTCGTATCCCGTATACGATTGAGTTGAGTATTCAAAATCTGAGTCTGGGCCTCCTGGGCAGTATACACAAATGTTGCCAGTGTAGGAAATGTGCGGGCAGCGATGTGGCTTGCACATGACTGCCACTACTGCAATACCTGATGATGTACCTTTTTACCTAGTCAGTCCTTGCCTCTTCTCCAGATCTTCGGATTGTTTCATCTCAACATACGAATTGGCTTTGCAATGAGTTTTGGTAAAATGTATTTCTTGTAGTGTTCTGGCACCGCCGCAATAATCGCCGTAAGCGGAGGCTGACTCTTCAAATAATGCTTCTTTGCAATCTGACCGCGCAAGGCATTCAAGTTTAAGTCTTTCTTTGGTTTTGTTCCATCCGCCTGGGATTCGTAGTCTTGGATGAGCGCCGACGCAATATCTGCGCATGCCCGCATGTAGCGCTCATTCTCGGGTGCCAACTTTACATTCTTCGGCAGCCTCCTCTTGTTTTGTGTCTCTGTTACCGTCATTGTCGCCATGATGGGCAGATTTGTGCTGTCTGGGGCTCGCAGGATTGCGATGGCGAATCTTGAGGGTTGAGCCTCTCTATGTGGAGTCACGGGTGGGGTGAATTTCGGTAACTGCTAGACTGTATTTGTACTAGCGACTTTCGCTTCCTGCGAGTGATGTTGTGCAGGTCACTCTCTCAATTCCAAGACCAACACCATTGTTTGAAATATTATCCATACCTAAAGGTGATGCTCAAGCGATGGAAGAGATATATTCACAACACCCATAAGACATGATAATGATAACAAGGCTTCATAAGAAAATATGTCTATCATACAGACGATATCTAGAGCAAGAAAGACACGTCCTCGTCAGCATTTCTTGACAACATCGGATCATCTATTTACCATGCAAAACCCAACGCAATTCGCCTCACTAGCTTAGAGTCTCTGACCATTCGTAATGATGCCGCCATCTAGACCACTAGCATTACCGACAAGGTCAAGGCGGCATCGAGCTGCGAAGCTGATATATCTTGAATAAGTATCCTCTCCCATGTTCAAAAGTCAATGGTTATGGAGACGAATTCGTAAGAGATACTCCATGAAGAATATACTTAGTTACTATCTAGTCTGTACCCTGCTTCCAGTTACATTCATTGTATTAATTGTTACACTACAAGCGCAACGAACCAGAGTAGAGAGTATCATCCGAAAAAATGGATGAGGGGTATCAAAGCGATCTACCTACAAATGTACCACACCCCAGCGAACGTAACAATAACAGCCGCTGCCAACCAAGGCCTAAGCCGCTCCAACTCTTGCAATAGCCCGATTACTTCTTTAGTCCACCTCAAGGTCTTTTCTTTCCCTCTTTTCCTTTGCAATCTACGCCTTAGACTTCAACCCCGCGACCTTCATAACAATGTTGGAAATTTTGACAAACACGTTGACGACGAGCCCAAGAGCAGCAGTCGGGACAAAAATCTGCAACCATTCGTACCACTTGACCGGTCGAACATCCGTCTCGATCCATCCTGCGCCTTTCAATGGCTCTCCACCGTCGACATTAGGTGTTTCGCCGTCGTCTGCGGGGAAACGGTTATTTTCGACAAAGTACTGTAAGAGGTTATCCTTTTCGCGCCAACGAAGGAGTAGCCAATCAGAGAATTCCTTTTCATCGTGGACTGGGATGTCGGCGATGGCATAGCGGCGCCAGTGCATGTTTACTGATTTTGGAGATCGACCTTGGAAGTAGGTACCACGGAGGGTGAAGATATCTTGACCGTATTGACCGACGCTGGTAAAGGTTAGCTGTCGTATGAACTAGTAATAGAATGGAGATGAGCTTACGGGACGCCTTCATAGGCTACTGTGCAATCATACAGATATTCGACGGAACCCTTGAGCTCTTTCAAGCAAAATAACAAGCCCGTGCTTCTCGGTAACATTGCATGCCTCAAGTCGTCAATCTTGTTCTTTTCTGCCCATTTCCTACTCGATGTTCGACCGTTTACGCTGAGATTTGTGCCTTCGGGAAAGATGAGCAGCCACATGGGGTCAAGTTCCTGGGAACCGGACAGCGGGCCGCTATGGCTGGTGGTCAGCCTTTTCAGCCGATGCTGGAAACGTTCCTTGTCCGTCGACCACTTGCGCGAGAGGAAGATGAAGCCATATAGCCTCATACCCCAGCCTATGACGGGTATATATTTCAACGACTCTTTCAGGATAATGTAGAGATGGCCATGCATCGAAGCCGTGTAAGCTACCCACCAAAGGTATACCCAGTCGGTGTAAATCTAGGGAGCGTTAGTAGCTGTTGGGGGGAAAGCGGGACGGGACGGGTAGACGGACTTGGTGGTTGGAAATAAGGACCAGTCGTTCGGGAAATTCGGACTCCAATCTGCCATCCTTTGTTTTTCTCAGTTGTCCCCTCATGCTCTTATCCCCACTGACTCGCATGGTAACGGGAGCCCACCAGTAGGTCATGGTAGTGACGACGATGCCAAAATGCTGCTTGGACATGGCCATCCATGCATAGAAGAGGTTCTTGCTGTATAGATATAAGGGACAGCCGAAATACTGTGTGATAGCGATGCTGGAACATAAAGTCAGCATCCCGTGGGGGCCTATCCGCCATGCGTGTGTACTGACGCCATGATGCTCCCGGCGAAGTAGGCTGCGAACAGAAACATGCGCAAGGCCTGTGCAAAGGCGCCATGCTTGATGTCGCCCGCTGGATGCTTTGCTGGTTCGGGGTCTTGTGGACGGGCAGGTGTTTTGGTACGCTGTGCTTTTAGCTTTGCGATGACAGGTGGCTCGACGGGCATCTGCCGCTGTCTGAGGCCTTGGATCGACATGGTAAGGTTGGGAGGAAGCATGTGCAGACAGCTGTCAGATAATTCTTTTGGCTCAGGGCAGGGCTGGTGCAGCGAATGTACATGGGTGTACCGAGTGGAAGTGGCCGGATCGCTCAGATGGGCGCGTGAATCGTGGTCTGAGCATGTGACGGCGAGTTGGGGCGTAACGAGGAATGGTGGACATCCAGGGATCGAGGTAGCGATTGCCTGGCAAAAGAAGGTGGAGAGAAGGAAGACGAAGCAGGGTAAGCAGGCGGCAGCTTGCAGCATGTACCCATGCTCATGGTGTCGTGGACGCGCAGCGCAGCAGGCTGATGCCGATCCACCTCAGTCCATCTGAGATGATGGCACCGGGCCAAAGATAGTACCCCACCTGTGCAGGGATTGCCCGAGCGCTGCGGGACGCTAGGCTCTCCTTCACTCGCATCCCATCCCACGTTGCCGACACGTTGTTTGCACGTGAAGGTGGAGATTAGCCCTGCTATCTCCGCATCACGACTCTGCTACTATCCATGTATCCATCTATGTACGTTCTGCGTGGTGGCTCTGCATTTACTGCTCGCCCCTCGCGGTCCAGCATCGTCATGACTGCTGCTCCTACAGTCGCCCTCGTCATCGCCCAGCCATATGGCATCCACCCGCCGGTTTAGCCTCTGCGCACCGCATCGCACACAACTACAGACGTAGCTATATTCTTATACACAGCGCCCCGAACATGCGCATATCCCAGAGATATCCACTGCCATGGCGGCTCCTTGGTTCGCCCGCACAGGCGCGCAGTTTCTCGTCGACACCCCGCCGTCGCGAGATCAAGCACATTTCCGAGCTGCCTCTGCGCACAAAGCCGTCGTACATACAATCACCCAACAACACACTCCTCAGCCTCCAATGGCCATCACCGCCACGAAATATACTCGTCACCAAGAAGAAGCGCACGCCCAACATCACCGAGTCCGTTATTGAATTCACGTCGCATATCCGCTCCACCTACCCCGCCATAAACGTCATCTTCGACCCAGAAACAGCAGAAGAGTTGCATGAAAAACTTTCGTTTCCCGTTTATACATACAAGAGAAGCAATGGCGTACCGCAGCAGCTTTCGGATAAAACCGATCTGGTCTGCACTCTAGGCGGAGACGGAACACTGCTGAGAGCCAGCAGTCTCTTCAGCCATTCCGAAAGTGTGCCTCCTGTCCTGAGCTTCGCCATGGGCACAATCGGTTTTCTGGGCGAATTTAAATTCAAAGAGTACAAGCGCGCATTTCGAGAGGTATACATGAGCGGTGCGCCAGACACGTACGCAACGCTATCTGATTCCTTAGGCAAAAGCCCACCACGCTTGCCTTCTTCGCCCGATGACCCACTAGACAAGCCATTGAGCTACGCCGATATACGCGGCAAGGCGATGGGAACCAACAGAACAGCGCGCATTCTCCTTCGTAACAGGCTCAAAGTCGGTGTTTTCGGGCCCGATGGGAAGAGAATCGGGAGCACAGACGATGAGGGCGATACCTACGCGTTGAACGAAGTCACGCTGCACCGCGGCGGAAGTCCACATCTCAAGGTTATCGATGTATACATCAACAATCGGTTTCTGACAGAAGCTGTTGCGGATGGTATGATTATCAGCTCGCCTACAGGCTCAACCGCATACTCGCTCTCCTCTGGCGGAAGCATCGTACACCCTCTCGTCCCATCAATCTGTCTCACTCCCATCTGCCCTCGCTCCCTCTCTTTCAGACCCCTAGTCCTACCCGCCGAAACGCCCATTACACTGCGTCTCGGCGCCAAGAATCGCGGCCGAGAGGTCGAAGTTAGTATCGACGGCAGCACCATCACTGAAAAACTGGGTACAGGAATGGAAGTCCGCATAAGCGGGGAGGAAGTCAAGCGCGATGCTAGAGGCTGGGAGGGCGGCGTACCCAGCATTGTTAGAGGCACTACGGGCAAGGAAGATATGGCAGAGGATCATTGGGTAGGCGGTCTGAATGCGTTGTTGAAATTCAATTATCCATTTGGCGATCAGGATTCTTGAGTCCATCACCATCTAATACATTTGGTGTCGAAGGGAGCTTAGAAAGCTAGATACACCAATCAGTCAAAATAGCCAAAAAAAAATGTACATACTCACCCTACTCCACCACCCGCGTATACCTCGTCGAACTTGTATAATCCTTCTGCGGCCCCTTGACTTCGTACTCGACCTCCCACCATACCTCCCCTCCCTCTACCGTCATATTCCTCGCAAAAGCCCAAGTCGCAGCATACAAATCCCTCCCACAAAGATGCGTCTCCCTATTCTTCGCTCTAACCGCTTCCTCTTCCTCGCCCGCTTGCAGTTCCCCCATCTCAACAAACAACCCCCCAATCCCCTGCCCATCACTTCCAACACCGCCCTCCTGCCTCGCCTCACGCATCTTGTCGTCATCGAAAAAGCGTACAGCGATGAACTCTGTGTCTGCCGGCTCAGCACCAGGACACAATTGATACACGTATTTTCTGCGCGCGGTAAAACTGAGACCGGTGGTTGTGCTGAATGTGCCTTCTTCGGCGTAGAGCAGGGTTGGTAGCGGGATAGAAGATGAGTGGGGCATGGGGGTGAATGTCGCGGTGCCGGTGACGGTACCGGAAGGGTGGCTGGGGAGCTTGGAGGTGAGGTTGCGGGTGAAGTTCCAGGTCGAGGTGGTGGCGAGGTTGGTGAAGATGGATCTAGGGCTGGAGAGTCGGGATCTAGGAGCTGGGTCTTGAGGTGTTGGGTTTGTGGGTTCGGAGGGTAATGGTCGGGTTTCGCGGATTGGAAGGGTCGCTGTTGGTTGTGTGGGGAGAGAGGCTTTTGGGTCTTGGCTGGAGAGTAGCATGGCGTTGACGCTTTGAAGTGTTGCTCGACTTGGATTCAAGGCTGCGTTGCTCGTGGTGATCCAGCTTAGTCTCTGCTTGATGAACGATTTATTCATGTTCTTGGCTTCTTTCGCTTTTCCTGTATCGATTGCTCCGCTTTCGTCTGTGTAAAGACATAATATCGCTAGGGCAGCTCCAACGGAGAGATCTTTGCCTGTGGGACAGCATAATAGTATTTTGCTTTGTGTTTCGGGAGTTTGGAGAAAAGAGAAGAACGGAACAAGCTGAGGAAGCTGAGTGCGAAGGTCGCGTGACCCCAGCTTGCCGTTCTGACATTTCAGATGAAGGTAGTGTCTTACTCCCGCATCTTTGAGTGTAGTAGATGCAAATGGCTCTGGTGTGCAGCTGACTACAGTTTCAAAACCTGCCAATTGTATGTCTTCGCTGGATGAGATATATAGCTGTGATGTAGGCTTGATCAAGCTTGCAGCTGCGCCACTGCCCTTTTGTTCCTTGATGAGCTTTGCAATGATCTCTGGAGCATCCTCTTCATTCATTCTCATCAGCATATCCCTGTTTTTCCAGAAAAGTGGCGGCGTAAGTCCGTGTGACCACGCCTCGTGGTCGTCTGCAGCACCCTGGATATATCCGCTTTCTGATGCCTCGGCGCCATGGACACGCCGTGACGCTGTGCAGAGGACTATGGGATGGAAATCCGAAAAAGAAGGAGCTGAATCCGGAAGAGAAGATTTCTGTGTTATCCATATGGGGCGGAGTGGCTTTTTCAGCTTACTACGGAGAAGTGGGATGTTGGGTTTGCAAATGTCCTTTCGTTCTATCAGCTACAACATCCCAGCATTTCAGCAGCCTAAGAAAACATACCAAAAATTGCTGTACAAACCCATCAATTCTCTTCTCCATCTGCGCATGCTCGCTCTCCCCCACAGCTTGCGGTGGTGTAAAAAGCCTCGTCTCTTCTTTTGCATTCTCCACACCAAACACCGCCCGATTCATCACGCAACACCACGTTGGGATAGTCTTGCTCAATGCATCCGGCATACTCTTCCCCCTCCTCGTACTATCCACTACAACTGCACCGCCCCATTTCTCTACCACATCGAGCAATTGTAAATTCAGCCTTCGCAGACTGAAACTCCATTCGCCCATGTGACCGTCTGTACTTTTAAAGTAGACGGATCCGGACTTCAAAGATGGCGGAATGTACCAACTACCACAGCGCTCATTGGCTACCAAGGGAAGCTCATAGGCTGATGCAACAGATTCGACAAAAGCACTGTCGGATATGATTGAAGCGAGCCGGTTGTGTGTTGAGAGCGTTGAACGGCGTAACGATGAGAGGGTGTTTGATAAGTTTGGTGTGTTGGAGAGATGCGGAAATATAATATCCGCTTCAGTTAATGGCTTGGACATTGCTTGCCTGATCTACTATCTTTTCGATTGCTAACGTTCAGTTTGGTCAATCGAGATGATTCAATATTCTTTACCCCGCATTGTGTTGAGTTTTGTAAGGAAAAGGGCTTTCTCAATCAGACGGCCAGCATCTTATTGAATCAGGTTTGGTAAATCCATATGACAAAATTCTTCATTTCGAGCGTGAGGGTAACAGTCGTGCGTGGGATGCTTGAGCCGATGAAGGAGACTGGATCAAATGTGAGAGGCTAGGCCATTTGGGGGCTAGTGTATATAATCCGCATTCGGACGCGAAGTCTGGTCACAGTGGGTTTGCCAGATAGCATTCGTTCGAAGAATATCTAGAGAAACAATGCACCTGACATCCTGTCAAATTTGTGGGAATTATTCTATAGAATTCACTCGTCTTTGGAGTTGTTCAAGCTATACCGTCGTCCCACGAGCTCTGAAACCACGATATAGCTCGTCGGCGTACTCGCTGAGAAAAACAGCGCATCGAGAGCTAACAATGAATCCGAAGTAAGTTTTTATGAATCTCACTTGATAATATCGGGACTGGACGCGAATGAACCAAAAGAGGAAGGACAGGAGACAATAAAACTATAACCGTGGTGTCTTCATTGGGTTGCGGTGATGTGATTCGTCACAAAAGTATGGTAGCATCAATCTAAGTTGGACATGGACACGAGAATACCGCTGACCTGCGAGTGTGGTGTTATGCCGGCTCGCTTCAGATGCCAAAAGCACAGACGGCAGATCGAGGGAAGGACAATGTGAACGATGTCGGCAGCGACGGAGTCTTCGCCCGACCCTTCACGCGTGGTCGCTATCAATCATCCGAGAGTCTCGAAAAGGTACGGAAGTCTACATAAGCTTAAGGATTCGGCCGAATGCAAGGCTTGCGGGGCCAGAATGCGGAGCTTGAGTGAACCAAGAGCCTTTCGATATTGCCGCTAGCACCAGATGGGACTAAACGTGGTGCAGGGCGGCAGCTGTCTCCTATTACCCGACATCCGGGAGTTTCCAAACATCTCGCCCACTCACATGTCGCCTTTGCAAGATTGCTGTCATCACCCTATACGACCAAGGCTCCTATGGTTGGTTGCGACACTTTGCAACGCGTCGCAGTCCACGTATGATACAAACACCGCAACATATACTACGGCACCCCGGTAATACTAGCACATTGTCTTCCAGTCCAAGTCAATCTGAGGGAGATGCCCCATTTCCCGTTGACTATCCGCAACTCTCCCGAGCCTCACTGCCTTGATCTAGGGAAATGCTGAACCGTGGCGCAGACAAGTTACAACCAATCTCGCAACATCAAGCGCGAGCCATTCGTTTGCTCCAAGCTACGACGCCCCGTTCGTGCATGGACTTGATTCCTCTTTGCACATGGCACCCACCCTTGCATGGAACAACTGCCATAGTTCGCCTTCCAGAATTATGTACAATGTGCCGTGTGTCAGGATAAATGAAATCCTCAGCAGTGTCCGAGATCTACCTTCATCAAATTGGGCTGTCATGTGCACGGCAGAATGTTTCGAGAAGGCGGTTCAGCCAAAACATCCCGGGCCGAATACATACGCTTACTTCTAGTACGCCAAACAACGCGCTCATTCTATCAACACCTGATACATCTATGCCATGGGGCCATATAGCTTCAACACGCTGTATGCAGGCCCGTCACTGCTGCGTCATCCGGCGGCTCGGAGTCGTGTACCCGCATTATCCAAATACAAATCTACATGTACCCACAAATGAGGCTAACTACACAATGCCCTGGTGCTTCAGTTTGTAGTGGTCAAGCCAGCATTGTGGAACGGTAGACGTGGTCGATCGAGGCCATCTTGTTACTTGATATGCTCGAACATCGCCATCACTCTCATAGTCGATTCGTCGGGGTATTCATAGATGAGGCTGAGAGACTAACGTCGAGACCGCGGGGTAGTAGAGGCTCGGGAAGCCAACATCCCCGCAGTTCTAAAGTCTCTCGTAAGACATTCATCTATTGACCCTGCTAGTCATATATGCCAATCAAGGACGCATACACAGAGACAAATTAGGCACCATTTGCGCTTCAAATCCTACCTTGGAGAAGATACCTTGAGAAATATTCCGACACTGTCTCATCGACGAAATATGAGATGGCAAGGCATCGTCGCTCCAACGCGGTCCAGCTTATCAAAGGGCACCCAAGTGTAAAATCTCGAACCCACTGCAAGAACCGTACTGTTGCCTCCTCCTACTAAAGTGGCACTTTACTACAGATAAACTTGGTATAGTATCATTCCCCACATGATATATGTTCATCTAAATCTTATTTCTCGAGGGCTGATCGCCCAAACCTGACAACTGCCCCTTGTCAATCACCCTCGGGCCTGCTTTCCGATGGACGAGTATCCCAATTCTCGGCTGCCAGTACATGAGTTGTATAAGAAGGAGGCTCGTCACTCGAATGTTTCAGCATCCAAACTACCATACGCTCTCTTGCATTCGCACGTTCTCTTACAGCCACTACCATGAAAGGTCTTCTCTCCGCAACAGTGGCTTCGGCCATCTCTGGCGCTCTTGCGTTTCCTTCTCCTGCTGAGCGCCGCGACATCGCTGCCCGCCAGGCCGCAGTATGCTCTTCTCCTGTCACGCTATCTGGAAACCCGTTCTCCAATCGCTCCCTCGCTGTCAATAGTTTCTATGCTGCCGAAGTCAAAGAAGCTGTTACAAAAATCACCGACTCGACACTTGCAGCAAAAGCGGCCAAGGTCGCTAATATTGGAAGTTTTTTCTGGATGTAAGGCGCTGAAAGCTCGGGCTGTATGGTTTTCTAGTGAAAAGGATGCTGACATGCAATTCAGTGATACGCGTGACAAGATCAAGATGCTCGACGACATCATCAAGGACACCCCCTGCACCCAGATTCGCGGACTCATCATTTACGATCTGCCTGGTCGCGACTGCGCCGCCAAAGCATCTAACGGTGAACTTGCCGTTGGCGAAATCAACATTTACAAAACGCAGTACATTGATCGTGAGTACTAACCATCGTCTTATCTTATGTAGATCTCGCCACTAACCTGGAACTCCATCATAGCCATTGTTACAATCATCAAGAAGTACCCAAACATCGCCTTCGCTTTGATTATCGAGCCCGACTCTTTGCCCAACTTGGTCACCAACAGCAACTTGGCGACATGCCAGGCCTCTGCTGCCGGATACCGCGAGGGAGTTGCGTATGCGCTTAAGCAGCTGAATCTCCCCAATGTAGCCATGTACATAGATGCTGGTCACGGAGGTTGGCTTGGCTGGGACGCCAATATCAGTACGTACTCTCCTTTACCTGTCATTGAATCGTACATGGAGAAAAAAATAGAAAAGCTAATCTGAGCAGAACCGGGCGCCAAGGAGCTTGCGACGGTCTACAAAAACGCTGGCAGCCCCAAGGCAGTCCGCGGTATCGCGACCAACATTGCCGGATGGAACTCGCTGGACCAAGAGCCTGGAGAATTTGCTGGTTCCTCCGACGGCCAGTACAACAAGGCACAAAACGAGAAGAAGTACGTCCAGCTCATATCGCCCGAACTTGTCGCCGCAGGCATGCCCGGCCAGGCCATTGTCGACACAGGCCGCAATGGCGTCACGGGTATCCGCAAGGAATGGGGCGACTGGTGCAATGTCAACGGTGCTGGATTCGGTCGTCCCCCCACGGCTGACACGGGATCTCCACTCATCGATGCCTGCGTGTGGGGCAAGCCCGGTGGTGAGAGTGACGGTACCAGCGATACCTCCGCGAAGCGCTACGATTCATTCTGCGGTAAGGACGATGCCTACAAGCCCAGCCCCGAGGCTGGATCCTGGAACCAGGCCTACTTTGAGATGCTTGTCAAGAACGCCAACCCGCCTCTGTAGAGTGATGGTGCGCTTGCTGAACATGTTTGGCTCTATGGGAACGGTAGAGTAGGGTGTGAGGTCAACTTTCTTTGTACATAGATAGGTTGTGAGGAGGGGGGTTAAGGCGAGATTCATTATCTTCAGGGCAAAGCAACAATAGAACAGTGTCTCTCGTTTTTTCCCAAATTGCTACTAAGACACAATTGTCATCCATACCTAGTCACTTACCTTTCTAAACACTTTTCATTCGACACTTCCCCCGTTCCCAACTTACAGTATGCACCGAAAGCAACCGGAAAATCTCTTCACACCTCTTCGACAACAACACATGTATTTTCCCGGCTCTTTATGGATTAAATTAAATAAGTCGGATAGAATCTTGCCACTAGTACAAATAATGATACTGCTTAATAAAAACCAGCGCTACACGGGTTTTTTAAGAGGTAGCAGAGATGAAGCAATACACCATGCTATACTCATTAGAAATTCTAAATATCATAGCCACGCATAACATTGTTTTTCATGCTATCAAGTTACACCTCAGTCTCAATGTTAATATATCTCCTATCCGAATACCTTAGTTGTGTCAAGAGTGGTAGCACGTGTGGTAGCACGTGACAATTACTTTCGTATCGCGTACCACGTACTACGTTTCTAACCCTTCCTAGATACAACCCCCTTATTTTTTCGAGTCCAGAATGTTGCAATACCTTCAAAGGCAAAAAAGAAAGCAGGAAGAATTGCAAGGAGTTTTTTCTTCAATAACTCGAGTAGTAAAAACCCCCGTCTTCGCTGTGAGGTCTCAGAAACGTTGCCAAGCAATTGCTGGGGGGGTTTTTTGTTTTTGTTTTTTGCTTCAAGGAAAGAAGTATTAAGTTTGTCTTGGAGGAATCAAGTTAAGTGGTCTTTTTGTTCTTTCTTTCTCAGTAATTTCCCTTTCTTGGAAAAAAAACCGAGGAAAGAGGAATCGATGTGTGGGCACCCGGTTGATCTATAAAAATGCCCCACGATTCCACACAGCCTCCACCCCCACCATCAACAACCTACCGAAATCGATGACGTTCTAGAAACGTCAGTATATCGTATGTGCAATCGTCTTCGCTACACTCTAG